CGCATCAGGCAAGCGTGCCTCATGGCATTGGGAAATGTACTTGCTAAAGGTTATAAAACTCAAAGACATCTTTTCTGCATGTGACGAAAGATGGGTGTCTTCTCTTGAGGAGGAACAGTTTCCTTTCTCATGACATTCTGCAAGAGGTATTTGCATGTAATTATCTACCAATTGCAGAACAGAGCCTGAGAAAGCAGCACGGAGGGTGTGGCTGGCACGTGCAATTCTTTGCCTGATCCAGTGGGGGAAAGGTGCTGGTTACTGAGATCTCTAGGTCCTACGTGCAAATGGAAACCAGATGGATTGAGGGTTTCTCTGTAGTTCTGGGTCCAGCCTTGCTTGAAAATATTGACTGTCATCAAAACTGCCTTAAGGTCAGGTACGGTGGCTCATACCTGTAATCCCAGCACTGTGGAAGGCCAAGGTGGGAGGATTGCTTGAGTCCAGGATTTCGAGACCAGCCTGGGCAACATGGCAAAACTCTGTCTCTACAAATAGTACAAAACATTAGCTGGGCCTAGTGGTGTGCTCCTGTAGTCCCAGCTACTGGGGAGGCTGAGGTGGGAGGATCACTTGAGCCCAGGAAGTTGAGGCTGCAGTGAGCTGTGGTCACCCCACTACACTCCAGCCTGGGTAACAGAGCAAGACCCTGTCTCAAAAAAGAAAAAGTTATCTTAAGCAACATGGAACTCAATGCCACCACAGCATTCTAATTCTGTGTGTCTCTGGGACAGTAGGTAATGGCCTGTCACACCCATCTGCAAGATTGAGTGATGTTCCACAGCATATGCATCATCGTTTGTTCCCCCATTTTACTGTCTCTGTGGCTATTGCCATTGGGATATTTTTTCCCATTTATGACAGATGTTTTTTTTTCTAATATAAAGGAAGGCCGCCAGGCATGGTGGCAGGCGCCTGTAATCCCAGTTACTCAGGAGACCGAGGCATGAGTGTTGCTTGAACCTGGGAGGTGGAGGTTGCACTGACCTGAGATTGTGCCACTGCACTGCAGCCTGCGTAACAGTGTAAGACTCTGCCTCAAAAAAATAAAATGAAAAAAAATGGGAATCACCAGCACCTCCCCTAAAATAGAGATTGCCATGCCCTGGTAGGTGATTGGAAGATTAGAAGTTGTTGCATGGGGCTGGGTGTGGTGGCTCACACCTGTAATACTAAGTACTCGGGAGGTTGAGGCAGGAGAATCGCTTGAACCCAGGAGGCACAGGTTGCCATGAGTCGAGATTGCACCACTGCACTCCAGCCTGGGCAACAGAGTGAGACTTTGTCTCAAAAAAATAGAGAGAAATAGTGGCACAGAGAAGGCTCCTGCCCGGTACCCAGCTTGTGGCAGGCACTGACACACAAAGCCCACCCACAGATGCATGAGAAGCCACTTTGGGAGTCACCCATGTTCATTGCTCAGCTTTCTTTAAAGCCCTTGGTGAGCGATCCAGAGCTGGCCAAAGAACTCGGGTTTTGCATTGAAGAAGAGCGAAAATCCTCATGCCACAGCTGCTGTAGTGGCCTGTCACTTTCAAGGTGTCGCAGGTAAACTCACCACTGCAAAACCCAGAGGTCCCTCCTCCACCTGGGCTGCGACAGAACAGCCACAGGTGTTTCTGCTCCAGTTTCCTCATCATCACTTCCCTCCCCAGCGAAGTGGTGGGCGTTTGGGAGACTCAGAGCAGCCCTCCTCAGAGCACGAATTCCCCAAGGTGTGAAGCAAATAGACCAATCTGGGTAAAGCCACAGAGCAGAAATTAAAATTCCAGATCTTGGTTTGAGTTTTTCCCTGGATTCCTTGACTCTAAGAAGCATGACCCCTGCAGCTGGAAGAGCCCCTTTATGCCGGCCCAGAATGGGTTAACTTCGCTGTTCCTTCAGTTCTCGTTGCATCAACACGTGCGTTTTTCTGCCCCTGAGAGTGACTCCCACCCAGAAATGGAAACCGGGACTGTCTCCAGGCTCAGTGACAAGATGCAGCTCCGTCTGCAAGGGAACGTTCTGCTCTCCCATCCCATTATAGCATTGTTTTCGTTTTCAGGAGGTCCCTGGGACATTGGGTTTTCATTTTCCACGTCTTCCAATGGAAGGACCCAGCCAGCTCCTGGGGAGGCTCTTGTTCCCCATCCCTAGAGTCTTGTTCCTTAGGTTTGGAAAGCTGGAGGTTTCCTCTGTATTGCATGGTTTATGTCAAATATCTGTGCACATTCGAAACAAACGGACAGCTCTGTCCATGTTGAGCTTCCTGGCGTAACTGGAAGGACTCAACTCTTGGTTGCTGGCATGGCTGTTGTTTTTGTAAATCATGTGAGAGGCAGAAGTAGGTTCTCAAGTTAATGAAAAAGGCTGGGTGAAGAGCATGACCTCAGACACCTTCTATCACATGTAGATAATCGAATTGTCACTCTACGTGGACTTTGGGTGTTGGAAAAGCACCATGCCGCTCTGTTGCCAGGCACCTGGCTGGAGTGCAGTGGCACAATTTCGGCTCATTGCAACCTCTGCCTCCTGGGTTCAAGCAATTCTCCTGCTTCAGCCTCCCAAGTAGCTAATTTTTATATTTTGTAGAGACAGGGTTTCACTATATTGGCCAGGATGGTCTTGATCTCTTGACCTTGTGATCTACCTGCCTCCCAAAGTGCTGAGATTACAGGCATGAGCCAATGTGCCCAGCCTCATGCTGGTTTTTAAAAAGCTGTTTTCCTGTTTCCGCGTGCAATTGATTTCCATGTCAAAAAAATCCTACTAGCCATCGACAGCTTTTTCCCAAGCCTTCTGATGGGATAAACATTTCTCAATGTTTCCTGGGCAAAGATAGAGGTAAAGTGCCAGGTACTGAGGTTGCACGTGAGTTAGAGAGACAAACGCAGGGAAAGCCCATGGAAGGCAGGGTGGAGTTTGACAGGCAGTGTCAGGTGGGTCAAAGGGGAAACTTATCTAGGAAACTCTTGTAGGGAGCTTGGAGCTCTGGGTGAGTTAAACTCATTCTGCTCATGTCTAGAGGCGGCCTTCATAACCCAGCCAGATGTTGGCAGGAAGGTGGGCACAGGTCAGTCGTAGGCTAGAGACTCACGGGTCCTCAAAGGTTGTTTCACAATTCCAGAGGAGGCTGGGTGTGGTGGCCCACGCCTGTAATCCCAGCACTTTGGGAGGTGAGGTGGGTGGATCACCTGAAGTCAGGAGTTCAAGACCAGCCTGACCAACATGGTGAAAACCCATCTCTACTAAAAATACAAAAATTAGCCGGGCGTGGTGGCGTGTGCCTGTAATCCCAGCTACTCAGGAGGCTGGGTCGCACCATTGCGTTCCAGCCTGGGCGACAAGAGCAAAACTCCATCTCAAAAACAAACAATTCAGTTGCAGAGGGGAGCACAGCAGGAGAGGGCTCCCGTGGTGACAGCGCAGATGCCCGCAGTGGACGGCTGTTGTGTGCTGCTGAGTTTGGTGTCTCATGGATCGAACTGCAGGATACCAGAGAAGGAGCTTGGAGATAATCCAGCCAACTTATTTCACAGATGAGGACACCGAGGCACAGAGTGATGGGGTTCCTTTCTGGGCACACTGAGCTAGCAAGTTTGAGAGCTGAGTTGACAGCCGTGCCTCTGGTCCTGTCCCCGGATTTCCCACAGGCCCCAGCTGGAGCTGGCATGTGTCGCGTCTTCTCTCTTCTCTCCACCTTGCCACGTTGGTCTCGTCATTGTTAATGTCTTAAGAGGAAGGGAAAGGCCATGAATTCCCTTTCCTTTTTTTATTTTTTAGATGGGAGTCTTGCTCTGTGGCCCAAGGCTGGAGTGTAATGGGGCCATCTCAGCTCACTGCAACCTCCGCCTCCGAGGTTCAAGAGATTCCCCTGCCTCAGCCTCCCAAGTAGCTGGGACTGCAGGCACCCACTACCATGCCCAGCTAATTTTTTGGTATTTTTAATGGAGATGGGTTTCACCATGTTGTCCTTTCCATTTTTCTCGTGTCTTGGCATCCCTTTTCACAAAGATGCTGAGAATTGGGCTCTGGTCCTGTGGCAGGGTCCCCAGCCCACGCGGAGGCCCAATGCTGCAACTAGCATGGACTTCACCAGGCTCTGGATCTGTCTTTGACCGTCGGCTGCCAAGGGCTAGCAGAAGACATGTTCCAGGTAAATGCAGAGGACCATGCTGGCTGCCAAGTATTCGGAAAGTAAAAAATGGAACTTCTGATGTCACCATAGAAGAGTGCTGTTGGCAGTTATATTTGGATAAACAGAAGTTTGAGGGTTTGTTTTGTTTTGTTTTTGAGATAGAGTCTCTGTAGCCCAGGCTGGAGTGCAGTGGTGCAATCTCGGCTCACTGCAACCTCCATCTCCCTGGTCCTTGTTCAAGCAGTTCTCCTACCTCAGCCTCCAGAGTAGCTGGATTACAGGCATGAGCCACCACGCCCAGCCAGAAGTTCAAGATTTTGATGGTTTTCTGGTATTCTGACCAAGTCAAAAGTTGGTCCACGTGACTAATACAATCTGTATCTGTCAGGATTTAAGCAGAGAAACAGAACCAGCAGGAGACATAGGATATATATGCAGATGGATTGCAGGGAACTGGCTTCTGTGTTTGTAGGAGCTGGCTAGACACATCAGAATTCGTGAGTCCGGCTGTCAGGAAGGGCAGCCTGGAACTCCTGGGCATAGGCTGATGCTGCTGGCTGAGTTTCCCATCCGAAGCCAGCAGCTTTGGCCAGTGGTAGAGAGAAAAATACCATCCGAAGCCAGCAGCTTTGGCCCGTCCATAAAGGGCATGGGGTAGTGTGGTAGGCACCTTTCCTGGGGGACAGAGTGTGGTGACTGTCCCCATTCCCCCAGGCAAGTGCATACAGGGGCACAAGGATGGGGCAGATTCCAAGAAGGTCTTGGGCCCCCTTCCTCCCCGGCCCTTCCCCCTGCAGCTCCTTTGCGGCTGAACCCTGCCTGGCCACACAGCATCCTTCACACCCGTTTCCTTGGCTTGGAAATCTTAGAAATATAGATTTCCTGTATCCCAGTTCTTTAGACTTCCTTTTGTTCACTGGCTTGCTACTTCTCTAACTGTCCGGTAAGGGCACATTTTTATTTTGTTTATAATTTCCAGTCTGTCATGGGACCCACACTTTTGTAAACCACGATAAAGATGAACTACCTGAAAAATGATGAAGCGCTTAGACAACGTGGCAAAGCGAAGTGGCTGCCAGAGTTCCTAGACATTCGTTCTCAAGCTCCACACTCAGCCAGGCTCAGAACAGCCAGTTCCTGGACTGTCCCTGGAGCACAGGCCCTGCGACCTCTCCCTCCCCGCTCCCTGGCATGATTAATGGAGGAGTTCTGTGAGTATTTCCTGAGCACTGTATGCTGCACGCTGTTGTAGCCCATGGAATTAACCTAGTACCCAAGAGGTGCTTTTTCTAACCCTCTCCTTCCACCCTCCACCTTCAAGTAGGACCCAGTGTCTACTGTCCCCCTCTTTGTGTCCATGTGCCAAATAAGTGAAAATGGACAGTATTTGGTTTTCTGTTCCTTAGTTTGCTAAGGGTAATGGCCTCCAGCTCCACCATGTTTCTGCAAAGGACAGGATCTCATTCTCTTTTTTTTTTTTTGTAATGAATGAGAGGTTCTTATGTTGCCCAGGCTGGCCTCGAACGCGTAGCCTTGCCTCCTCAAGCACCAGGACAACTGGCCTGAGCCACTTAGGCTCCTGATCTCATTCTTTATTATGGCCACATAATATTCCATAGTTACCATTGGTGGGCATTTAGGTCGATTCCACGTACGCCAGAGGGCGGTACATCCTAAGGAAAAGCTCAAGCAGAGAAGAGGGATACCAATGATGAGCTGGTTTCTTTCCTGTTGGATGGAGGTGTTGCCAGCAGGATGGAAACTAATAAAGTAAACCCATCTATTGAAAGGAATTCATGGTTGTCCTTATCAGTGAATACTTTTTTTTTTTTTGAGATGGGATCTCACTCTGTCCCCCAGGCTGGAGTGCAGTGGCACAATCTCAGCTTACTGTAACCTCCGCCTCCCAGGTTCACATGATTCTCTTGCCTCAGCCTCCCGAGTAGCTGGGATTACAGGTCTCCGCCATCATACCTGGCTAATTTTTGTATTTTTAGTAGAGACAGGGTTTCGCTATGTTGGCCAGGCTGGTCTGGAACTCCTGACCTCAAATGATCTGCCCACCTCGGCCTCCCAAAGTGCTGGGATGACAGGTATGAGCTGCCGTGCCTGGTCACATTCTTATTTTAACAAGATTTTCTTAGCAACAAACACATGAAGATGTACACAGGATGAGAATTTCTGAACCAACCATTGGTACACACAGGCAGGGCTTCAGGGCTGGTGAGCATCTGGGGTGGGGGAAAGCTCTATGCATTTGCAGGGGAGAGCTTGGGCAGAAAGTTCTGGAAGAATTTCTGAAAGGAGCCAGAAGGAGAGAGAGAACAAGAGGATGAGACAAAAGACAATGGAAAAGGCAAATGGAGTTTAGAAAGCCAGGTACCCACCAGCCATGAAGCTTAGCAGGAGGAAGCAGGAAGTGTCTCACTGGGTTCCTTTTTCCAGTTACCCTGGCAGGAGGAGGCGTGGATGGCGGGCACCAGAGTTCCATCAACTTCACACAGTGCAGACAAACTGGGAAATCAGTAATCTTTTCACAATTAGCAGTTCTTCAGCAACAATAATGTGCTCACTGGTTTAGCGCAGTGGGCTGTGTGCTCAACTGTGAAAGAGAAGGACAAAGTAAGGAATGTGCACAAAAGACTGCTTCGGAAAGCAGCAGTGAAATTAGCAGGACTTTCTAGCTTGCAGGGTGAAAAAATAATTCCATGAGACAGCGTGGTTTATTGTTCTGCTTGGCAGTACCTAAAATGGAAACGGGTGACCATAATCATAATAGGTGAGGCTTATTCACACCCACTGTGTACACCACGACTGTTCTAAGAGTTTTATATATATACAAACGTATATTTAACTTTATATATTTATATATTCAATTAATATATGCATTACGTATTTACATACATATATTTCTTTTTTTTGAGACGGGGTCTCCCTCTGTCACCCAGGCTGGAGTATAGTGCCTTGATCTTGGCTCACTGCATCCTCTGCCTTCCGGGTTCAAGGAGTTCTTGTGCCTCAGCCTCCTGAGTAGCTGGGACTACTAATTACCATGCCCAGCTAATTTTTGTATTTTTAGTAGAAACAAAGTTTCACCCTGTTGCCCAGGCTGGTCTGGAACTCCTGAGCTCAGGTGATCTGTCTGCCTCAGCCTCCCAAAATGCTGGGATTACAGGTGTGAGCCACCACGCCCGGCCAGAACTTTATAAATATTAACTCACTCAATCCTCACAACCACCCTGGGGGCTAGGCATGTCTCTTTTGCCCCATTGAGAGATGAGGAGACTGAGGCTGCCTTCCATGAGCTTGCACTGGAAGCAAGTGGGAGTGCCAGCACACAAACCCCGCTGTCATACTGGCTTCTCACTTGGCCTTGAGATCTCCCTCTGGAGAGTGTCCATTGGCCAAGAGAGCCATTTTCCAGGAGAGCCCTGACCAGGAGCAGAGTTAGGTTTGGGGGCAGGGGCAGCTCAGTGGAACACAGGAAGACACAGAAGTGGTTCATTACTCACAGGTCCTGGAGTAATAGTACCTAATAAACCTCCTGGGTGCCCAGGAGGACTGATGGGCAGTCCAGAGACAGCAGAGAGCTCAGTCAGTGGGTGGGAGCAGGGGAGAGAGAGATCTGTGGACCAGTGCCTTTACTGGGGCCCTGGACATTACACAGGCAAGTTTCCCACAGGGAGTTCCAATCAGTGGGATTGCAGCAAGCATCACGAGCTCTGTGGGTCACCCTGTGACTGAAGGGTGGTCTCTGCAGCAGAGCTGCACAGTCCGTGTGGGGGTGGGGTCAGTGGGGTGAGTCCAGTAGGCTGCGTGTAGCTGTCCCAGCTCAGCTGATAGATATTAACCCTCTCAACCCCCACGAGCAGCCGAGGAGCTAGGTGCTACTGTTATGCCTCAGTGTCCTCATTTCTGAATGGGGCGTGAGAGACATCCTAGCTCCTAGTGTGGTCGTGAGGATTGGGTGAGTTAATATTTAGAGAGCTCTCGGAACAGCCCTGGTGTATACAGTGGGTGTGAATAAGCCTTACCTATTTTTATCACCTGTCTCTATTTTATGTACTGCCAAGTAGAACAATAAACCCACATGGTCTTGTGGAATTTTTTTCTACCCTGCAAGCTAGAAAGTCCTGCTAATTTCACCGCAGGCTTTAGGCAGCCTTGGTGCTCTCTCTCCAGCCTTTTGTGTGCATCCCTTAATTCTGTCCTTCTCTTTCACAGTTGAACACCAGCCCACTGAGCTAACCAGTGAGCATGTTACTGTTGTTAAAGAATTGCTAACCCCAGCTACACGCAGCTCACTGACCCTGTCGGGAGGCAGTCACCAGGAGGTGGTGGTATGAGGTAGGTCTCTGGATCAACTGCCTTGAGGAACTGGGAGGAGCAGGAGGAGAACTGGAAGCTGTGTTGAGGGCGACTGCACCCTGCTTCTGGCATGAGAATATATATTCAGAATGGATGCAGAGGCAACTCACTACACCTGGCAATTTGGTTCCATGCCTGGGCCCCTGCCCACGATGCCATCCTGCCTCTTGACAAGCACCCATCTTCCTTGTTGGCTAGTTGGGAGATGCTGTCTGGGTGGAGGGAACACCCCTGCTTCCTGCCCAGGGCCCTGGCACCCAGGACCCCCAGAGCACTGCTATTTTAGCTCACTCAGAAAGCAGGTGCCCAGACATCATCTGTCCCTCAGCCAGGCTCCTTATGCCCAGGACACAAAACTGGAAGGTTTTAGAAAGCCTCTTGCTGGCTTTGCCAGGACGGTCTGAGACCAACCAATTAGAATGAACAACAAGAAAATGTCTTTGTTGTCTTGACTTTAAGAAGAGAACAAACGGGTGCGAACCCATAGTGGTTCAGCCTGCCCTGTCTGAGGTCGGCCTCTGTCCAGCAGCTCCATCTTCTTGTGGAAGTGGATGAAGACTTCCCAGATGAGAGCAAGCAAAGGCTGTTAACTCAGAACTAGCTGGAGCAAAGAGTCAGCCACCAGGCTCGCCCTGGGGAGGGACTCTGGCTGGGGGGAGGGGCCTGCGAGCCAGCATCGCCCCCGCTCAGATTTTGGAGTCCCTGGTGGGCAACTTGCGTGTGAGGAGAGGGAGTTGAGCCAAATGCCTCGGGCCCCCAAGCAGGTTTAGACGTCTCCAAGGGGGAAAGTCTTCCTTCGTCCCAGGCGCTCCTTCCATCATGGAAACAACCATCAGAACCAGCGTGGGAGACACCTGTGTGGAAGAAGAGCAAACAGAGCCGGCGACTTGGGGAGCCCCGTCCTCTCCCACATGCCTGCTCTTTTGTAAACACACTTAGATTTCAGAAACAAGTTCCCACAGACCCCAGCCCAGGACCTCACAGGCAGTCGGGTGTGTTGAAGAAAGAGTGATGAATGAGGACAGCTCATAAACAGCCCGTCTTTGTAACCCCCAGGCGTCATCTGTCTGGCAAATCCAGAGGTGCAGATGCTACTAGATCAGCCTTGCCGCTGACAGCAGTCGCTTCTATTTGCCTTGCAGGGGAGACTTTTCGCTGTTTGCAAGTCAGAGCTGATGAACACTCAGTACTTTTCCTTACTAGGAATCGGAGAAAGGTGGACCCTGGACGTCCTTCAGCGCCAAGGCTGGTCGTGACGCTGGAATCTCCCCTGGCCCAGACCTTCACAGTTTCCTGCTGTGATGCCGTTTCACCAAAGCTGTGTGTGACCTTGGGCAGGTGCCCAGCTAGGCGGGTTACTTCTCAGGGTTTCTCATTTTCCGTCATTAAAAGGACCAACGTCGGCTGGAAGAAGTGGCTCATGACTGTAATCGCAGAACTTTGGGAGGCTGAGGTTGGAGGATTGCTTGAGCTCAGGAGTTTGAGACCAGCCTAGGCAACATAATGAGACCTCGTCTCTACAAAATAACTTAAAACGTAGCTGAGCATGCTGGTGCACACCTGTAGTCGCAGCTAATCAGGTGGCTAAGGCGGGAGGATCACTTAAGCCCAGCAGGTCACGGCTGCGGTGAGCCGTGATCATGCCCCTGCACTCCAGCCTGGGTGACAGAGTGAGACCCTGTCTTAGACAAATAATAATGATTTTTTTAAAAATCCAAAGTGTTAAAACACATGCGCTAATGAAGAGTCCCCCCCCCACCCCCATGTACAGGCTTTGTGTGAGCAATAAGGCTGTTTATTCACCTGGGTGCGGGCAGGCTGAGTCGTAGGGCAGAGGGAGAGGAGTTGGTTTTATAGGTTTGGGGTAAGCAGTGGAAAGTAGGTACAGAAGTTACAGTTTAGGGTGGTTTTTTGCAAGTTGGGAGGAGGTCGTAGGGTCTGGAGTCACGAGGTTAACCAAGGTTGGTCACAAAGTCCAATGGCCGTGTCACTTGAGGCTGGAATAAGAAACAATAGAAGAACGTCTCAGGTTAGTTGGGCGCCGCCAGGGTTGATGGCTCCAGGAACTCATCTGGGGTGTACATGCAGGTCACAGAAGTTACCACACCGTTCATGGCGCGGTCAGTCAGCCTAAAAGACCTTACACAAAGCTCTAAAGTGTAACTTCAGCCTCTCATCTGCTGAAGACCTTCTCCCTCCTCCTCGTTCCCATCCCCATCTCTCCTCCCCGGCCCCTACCTCCACCCCCACCCCACCTTCACTCTCAGCTCAGGCCTGGCTGTTTAAGGTAATCCCGGACAGGACCGGATGTAGACCGACTGTCTTGCTATTCCTTTACAGCTTGTTCCATCCATCTCTCCTTCTCTTCTGCTGTTTTTCTGCTTTCTTTCAGACTAGGTATTTTGTGACCTCATTTCTTCTGCGTGGTTGTCTCTATGGCTATACTTTTGTGTTTCTTGGCAGTCATTCTGAAATTTACAGTAGATTCGCTTTTTGGCTTGAAGAGCTGGCACAGGAGGAAAGTGACTGTAAAAATTTAATGTGTCGGTCGGGCGCGGTGGCTCACGTCTGTAATCCCAGCACTTTGGGAGGCTGAGGTGGACGGATCATGAGGTCAAGAGATTGAGACCATCCTGGCCAACATGATGAAACCCTGTCCCACTTAAAATACAAAAATTAGCTGGGCATGGTGGTGCACGCCTGTAGTCTCAGCTACTCGGGAGGCTGAGGCAGGAGAATCGCTTGAACCCGGGAGCCCGAGGTTGCAGTGAGCCGAGATTGTGCTATTGCACTCCAGCCTGGCAATAGAGTGAGACTCCATCTCAAAGAAAAAGAAAATTAAATGTGTCTACTACGATGTTTGTAATTCACTGGAAAATACCCTACTGTCATTCGTGTGATGTCACGTATGTGACAAGGTTGAAGCTTTAACGTGATGAGTTACTCATTGGCTTCCTTATGTTCTCATCTGCACAGGCCAGGTGGTCACCCGGCGTTTTATCAGAAAGAACCGCCCTCTCGAGGCGGTGACTACAAGTCCTGCTATTGGCACCCCATCTGCAGCCGGCACTTTGCCAAAAGGGTGTCAAAGATAGTTTCTTTTCTGTTGTTGAAGTTAAAGACTGGCTACTGAGCACCATGGGTACGTGAGTCCGCTCCAGTCTGGAGACCTTCTCCGCCCACGCACAGACAGGGTGGAAGCGTCCCCCCAGGCCTTCACCCTTCACCCCTTGGGGGGTCTGGGACAGGAGCCCTAGGAGGTCCTTTGTCCACCAGGGGTACTGGGGGGTTCCCACAGCACGATGCTGACCAGAGGCAGTGAGATCCTGCTGGGGGCCAGGCGCAGTGGCTCACACCTGTAATCCCAGCACTTTGAGAGGCTGAGGTGGGAGGATCACCTGAGGTAAGGGGTTTGAGACCAGCCTGGCCAACGTGGTGAAACCCCGTCTCTACAAAATACAAAAATTACCTGGTGTTGTGGCAGGCTTACAAGTATCCCAGCTACTCGGGAGGCTGAGGCAGGAGAGTTGCTTGAACCTGGGAGGTCTGAGGTTGCAGTGAGCCAAGATCTCGCCACTACTCCAGCCCGATGACAGAGCAAGACTCCATCTCAAAAAAAAAAAAAAAAAAGAGAGATCCTGCTGGGTGCCCAGGTGCACTTTTGGGGCATCTGTGGGATGGACTTCAGATGTCAGTCATGCTTGCAGGACATATGAGCGTTTGGCACCTGCTCTGCTGATGACTGTTTGCATAATAAATGCTATCTTGTCTGGTAGACTCTGCTCCGAGGCTTGCTTCTGTGATCACCCGGCTGTGAGACAGGGGTAGGGGCTAGCTCTCCCCTCTTGGACATTTGGGTAGCTACCATCATGAACAAAAGGAGCTTTCTAGTTGTGCACCATGAGGTCGTGTCACGGCTTGCTGAATCCCAATAAGACCCAAGGATAGAGTGACATCATTCGCTCTGCTGATGACATCATGCTATTCACTGCGCCTTCTCACCTACCAATGATGCAATTGTTTTTCCCCTGAAATTTGACTAGTAAGTTTCCATTTTTCTTCATGTCAGTCAGGTTTTCTTGTAAGCAAATAGTACTAGCCCTTGAAGATTTCTAAAGAAGTGACAAAATGATTTAAAGTATACAAATATGAGAGTTTTTAATAGGGGAAAGAGTTATATCATATTCGGCAACAAAAACAGCGTAACCATAGAGATGCTTCCCAGCATCTATTTCAACATAGTGTGATCTACAGGAAGAGTTTACTTCAATAGTGATCGCTTTCTCACTCACTGGTAACAGATTATCTTTGTATTACAGAAGTGGAGTGTGTGTGTGTTTAAATATCTTCTGGGTAGCAATTTGTTGACCAAAAGCTGCAAACACGTTAAGATAAAATTTGAAAGACCTAAAAACATGGAGAGATACGCCGTGCTTGGATCAGAAGGCTCGATGTTGTGAGATGTCAGTTCTCCCCAAGTTGATCTGCAGATTTAGGGTAGCCCCAACAAACATCCCAGGAGACAATTTAAAAAAATAGGAATTGACAATCTGATTCTAAAATTGTTATGGAAACGTGAAGGACCTGGGATAAGCAAAACACCTTTGAAAAGAACACAAGCGCGAGACTTCTGCTACCGGATCTGCAACACTAATACAGAGCTCCGGTAGGCATGACAGGGTGCTGTTGAAACCGCCTTTGCAAAATGGTGATGCAGCGAAAGACATCTGGCTTGACTGACTCCATCTTGCTTCTAACCCCCAAGCTGTCCTTCTTCATTCCTGGGCATTAGGCTGAACTAACTTTGGGAGAAGTTCAGTTTATAGTTTATGACACTATGATTTATAGTTTAAAACAAAGATAATAGCGGCCCTTTCCCAAGGCAGAGCTCCTGCCTGGGGACTAGATTGACTTTGTAAGACTAACGTTAGCCATAAGATTAGAAATGATGGTTTGGGAGTCATGTAGCTGGAGGTGACAAGATCCTCCCTCAGCTGCTCCTAAGATCAGTGCTTCAGACCCTGCACTTGATGGAGCAGCTGGCACCACCCAGATCGATAAACTGGCCCTTCTGATCTTGTGACCCCCCACCCAGGAACTGACTCAGCACAAGAAGACAGCTTCAGCTCCCTGTGATTTCATTCCTGATCAATCAGCACTCCCGGCACAATGGCTTCTCCCCACCCACCAAGTTGCCCTTAAACACTCTGTTCCCTGAATGTTTGGGAAGACTGGTTTGAGTAATAGTAAAACTCTGGTCTCCTGCACAGCCAACTCTGCATAAATTACTTTTTTATTCTTATTATTTGAAATGGAGTCTAGCTCTGTCATCCAGGCTGAAGTGCCGTGGTACGATCTTGGCTCACTGCAACCTCCACCTCCCAGGTTCAAGTGATTCTCCTGCCTCAGCCTCCTGAGTAGCTGGGACTACAGGCACACACCACCATACCCAGCTAATTTTTGTACTTTTAGTAGAGACAGGGTTTCACTGTGTTGGCCAGGCTGGTCTCGAACTCCTGACCTCATGATCCGCCCCCCCCCTTAGCCTCCCCAAGTGCTGGGATTACAGGTGTGAGCCACCGTGAGCAGCCATTACTCTTTCTCTATTGTACTTCCCCTGTCTCAAGAAATCAGCTCTGTCTGGGCAGCAGGCAGGGTAAACCCCTTGGGCAGTTACAGTGTTGCCATAAACACACGTTGGTTGATGAAACGGAAGAGAGGGTCCAGAAATAGACACACATGTATTTTTGATGGTAACACAACTCAATGGAGAAAAGATCATCTTTTCAACAAATGGTGCTGGAACAGCTGGACAGCCACATGAGAAAGATTGAACCTCCCCCACGTCTCACATTTTGAAATCAATTCAGAATGGATCATGGACTTGAATGTCAGCCCTAAGACTGCAAAGCCTCCAGAAGAAAACATCAAAGAAAGTTTTTGTGCCTTCGGGTTAGAGCAAGACTTTATAGATATAACACCAAAATCACAACCCATTAAAGAGCAATACATTGAACATTATCAAAATTAAGAACTTCTGGTCTTAGAAACTTAAGAGAATGAGAAGTCAAGCCCTAGGTTAGGAGAAAATAATTGAAAATTACATCTGATAAAGAACTCATGTCCAGAATGCAAAAGGAACAATAAAAAGTTCACAATAACAAAACCAACCTTTTTTTTTAAATGGAGAAAAGATCTGAACTCACATTTCACGGAAGGAGAGAGGCAGATGTTGAGGAAACTCATGAAGACGCTCAGCATGACTAGCTGTTAGGAAAATGCAAAGTGGCTGTGTGTGGTGGCTCACGCCTGTAATCTCAGCACCTTGGGAGGCTGAGGCGGGTGGATCACTTGAGATCGGGAGTTCAAGACCAGCCTGGCCAACATGGTGAAACCTTGTCTTTACTAAAAATACAGAAATTAGTTGGGTATGGTGACACATGCCTGTAATCCCAGGTACTCGGGAGGCTGAGGCAGGAGAATCGCTTGAACCTGGGAGGCAGAGGTTACAGTGAGCTGAGATGGTGCCACTGTATTCTAGCCTGGGCAACAGCGTAAGACTCCAGCTCCAATAAAAAGAAAGATAAAGGGTTGTAGAGTGTAAGGTTTTTATTGCAGATGAAGCCTCTAGGTAGCAGGCTTCGGAGAGAATCGGTTGTACATGTTTCTTATCACACTTTAAAAGGTACCAGACTCTTAGTTAATTCTCTTCCAGATCAGGGAAAAGATTTGGAAAGGGAAGGGCATTATTTACAGAATGTAGACTTCTCCCGTAAGAGACAGCTTTGCAGGCCATTTCCAATATGTGTCAAAGAAATCTATTTTGGGGTAAAATACTTGGATCTGTTTTGTCAGTTTTCTGGTCTCCTTTTTTTTTGAGACAGAGTTTTTGCTCTTGATGCTCAGGCTGGAGTGCAGTGGCACAATCTCAGCTCACGGCAACCTCTTCCTCCCGGGTTCAAGCGATTCTCTCCTGCATCAGCCCCCCGAGTAGCTGGTATTACAGACATCCACCACCACACCCGGCTAATTTTGTATTTTTAGTAGAGGCAGTGTTTCCCCATGTTGACCAGGCTGGTCTTGAACGCCTGACCTCAGGTGATCAGCCCACCTCTGCCTCCCAAAATGCTAGGATTATAGGCATGAGCCACCACACCCGGCCTCTCGGTCTCCTTTAATGTGAATGCTGGTCAGTAGTCCCTGAATTCCACAGGAAGAAGGTGTAATGAGGCCTGTTCCACCCCCTTCCCATCATGGCCTGAACTCATTTTTCAGGCTAACTTTGGAATGCCCTTGGCCAAGATGAGGGGTTCATTTGGTTGGTTGTGGAGCTT